TACTAAAACCATGTAATTAATTGGATAGAATTAAATCAATAGATAATTTATAGATGGTCAATTAAAAAACCAATGCTAAGAATTGCCAAAATTTTAAACCTGAAGATGCAATTGCAAAGATGTATAGAGGATCAAAAATTATGAAATATTACAAATGGTGTTTTGCTCAGATGTTTATAAAAAAAAAAACTTAAAATAAAAAGCATATTACGAATGAGGATATTCATTATTTGTTATTATTGCAACATTAATTTTTTCCCTTTTTTAAATGACTTGCTGTGATAGGATGTAATTTGTTTATTAAATTTATGGTTAATTTCCCCTTTGTCATTGCCAAATGTTGTTTTAATTGCCGGATTCTACTTATATTTGATATTTAGGGTCCGTTTGGTTGGACTGAAAATATTTTCCCTAGGAAAATATTTTCTATCAAAATCATTTTCTTGGAAAATCACTTCCTTCCCATAATTTTCCAGTGTTTGGTTATTAAGTGAAAATATTTTCCGAATTCCTTTTTTCATAATTTTCCGGTGTTTGATTTGTCAATGAAAATATTTTCTGATATGTTTGTTGATATATTGCAAATATTTTTCTACTCTCAAAACATTCGTTTCATTACAAGTTAATTTTAGTTTCTATCCACTATAATCATATTATCATTTTTATAAAATATTTATTCATATTACACCATGAATTCTTAAATTTCCCAACTCGAATACAGGGTGGAATTAGGATAGATCTAGATCAAACTAAAAATATTGGATATTTTGATATTTGAAAGAAAATGAATTCTTTTGTCTCAAAATTTAATTAATATTCATTACTTAAATTAAAGTGGTTCTTTCGATCATTCATAGAAAAAAAAGACACTTGTAATCCTAAAAGAACTAAATTGTCAAATCCCACCACCACCACCTGACACAAATGCAATCTTTCACATTAGACTTGATTATCACATAAAACATATTAGCAATTGAATTAGAATAGTGTAGGACAGTTTGATATTCTTGCAACGTTGTTTACTTGCCTTAAGTTACTTCTAATTAGTAGAAAGGAGAAAGCAAAATGTCTGGGATATTTTTGAGATGAATGCAAATCTGACTAGAGCTGTTGATTTTATTCTTGTTGTCTGATCTTTCATGGGTTCAAGGGAGAAGAGCAGATAGGTCGTTATGTGTTATAGCACGAGGTTTGATGTCATAATTCAGTACTTCTACAGCAATACTTTAGTTTGCAGGTTGAGTGCAGATACTTTTTATTTATCAATTCAAATTGCTCGGCAAATTATGTGCAACCAAAGTTGTTAAGAATTCCAGTGGAATACCCACTGATATTGTGACTAATATGATTCTGCTGCTGGTGATTCTCTTGCACTGGGGGGGGTTATCTGGTTATCGGAAATTAACTTCAGGAAAGTTGTTGTGGAAGTCATTTTCCACCCGGCGGCATGAAAACATTTTCCAGCTGAAATCATTTTCCAACCTCTTTTGCTTCCAAACACCAGAAATTCTGGAAAACTTTTTCGGGAAAATATTTTCAGTCCAAACAAACATACCCTTAGACCTAATTACAGGAGGTGGAGCAGAAAAATGCTATAAAGGGCGACTTTCTTGAAGTCATGCCGTTAAGTACAGATTCTCGAGATTGTGTGCACGTGGAAAGCTTCCAAAAAAATTGACAAATCTGATTCCAAGTTATGCTGAACCAATTCTTTCCCTTTTGTTGACTAGTAGTTTACTAGTATTAGGAAACAAGAACAAGAAGCAAGGCAATATCGGTGGTTGCCTTTTTTTTTTTTTTACTTGTTCGTTAGGAAATTGACTAGTATATAAACTAGTCACTTAGGTTTTCGTTGGAGCTGGCTGGTTGGCCCCAAGTCCCAAGACAGAAACAAGTCGTCTTCGTTCCCTTACTTTTTGATTCGAACAAATATCACATCATTTCGGGGGAAAAGATTGATGTCGATGAATTCAACTTATTTGCGTGGAAATTTCTCTACGAGACGTGGCTAAATTTCTAATCTAGTCAAAAATCAATTGAACGACGCAGTCCAGAAAATCGGTGAGATCGAACTAATCTCAACTTATTCCTTCAATTTATTAATATTTGTGCATTCTCTATTTTAATTTCTCGAGATTATTTCTTTAACTGAATGTCAAAGGCCCGATATTCAAAGTGACCTAATAATCTATTGTCAAATTAATCAACTAAATAAGTAATTATTTAGTCGATTAATATTAGTGGTAACTAACATTTACACACATTATGGGAATGTGCAATCTAATTTAAATAACCCTCTTAGTGTATTATTGATTAGGATTAGACTTTTCTAATTCTTAATGCAATTGAAAAATTAAACCCTACGATCGTACCTAGGGTTATTTTCTGGTTGGGGATGATCAACAGTCGTACCTTGGTTATTAATAAACTAAGAAAAAGTTGGTCGTCGGAGTTTGTTGACGATTATAACTGACCTGTTAATAAATTGAGCGAACCATCTTTGCATCAATGATCGGATGAATAGACCGTGTTTGAGAGGTTGTATCTTTGGCTAGAGCTTGTCTACCATCGATTTAATTTTTGCTTACTTTCATGAATTGTTTTATCAACTGGTTGTTTATTTATTATTGTTTGAGTTGTTTAATTATCCCCAAATTTATAAAAATCCCCCTTACTCTGTACTCTCGAAAAAACAAATTATCCCCAGTCCATGTGGATTCGACCCTACTCACCGCTATATACAAAATTTATATTTTTGTTGAGTAGGTTTTTATTATTGCACAGGCTCGACACCTATCATGCTGCAATTTTTATCATTATGTGCGCGTGCTTCTCCAAGTCTTCCATATTTTTCAGCGTTTATTGTTCTAAAGAACATCAATATTATTATTAAGGATAAATATTATTGAAAGAAATGTATTTGAAAAATTAAAGTTCATCCTTGATTTTTTTTTCATGTTGAATTGTGCAACTCCTTTTTCTTTAGGTCGACATGTGTCATCAATTAACCCTTGCCTAAGTTTCCCGTTAACAAAGATTAAGAGAATGTCAAATAATGGCAAGAAAGTCTTGGTCTAAAGGTTGATTCTGAGACTCCAGAATTTAAAAGTTTTGGATTTAAACCTCCTATTCCCTCTCCTTATTTCTTCAATTCCGCCATTTCCCTACAAATATATATATATAAGTGAATAAGCATGTCAAATAATTCAAACAACCACACGGTCATAATATTAAAAGCATAATTTATGGATTTTGTTTACCTATAAGCTTTGTTTAATTTCTTGCAGGATTCGTTTTGCTTCCAGAATTCATCTACTGTAGATAGAACTAGATGCCAAAGCACCATGTTTCTTAATAATTGTGAGCCTACTGACCTTATAAAATCGACTAAAGTTCTTTGATAATACATGTGTCAACACAAACATCATTCTTGGATGAGACTTACCCTTGCTCCAGCAGGGCAATTATGGCCTTTTTTCTTGCAAGACCAAAATCCATATCAACTGGCATCAATGGTTTCCCCTGTAGATTGTGAGCCTACTGACCTTTTAAACCACAACGACATAATAATTGTCAGGAGCATCAAGAGTTCCATATAAACCTCTTGGTGTCCGGTGACCGTATTGGCCCTGACTTATCCTGACTAATCCGGCATTGAGCACTGTCGGACCCTTTTAAGATATGGCTTTCCCAACGTTGTTTTTTTCATGATATCTTGTTTCAGTGCACAATTTTTTTTTTTTTTTCATATGTACATATCAAATTAAGGTCCTTCTGTTAGTGCAGTTCTCTGTGATGGAGCGTTTGGAGGGCTCAGAACAGAAGTGGCTCATTCTCGTACACTTGCTGGGGTTTTCTCCTACATTTTATGACCTTTCTCCTACTAAGGTTGGATCGGTTTCTCCATTACTCTGGTGCAGGAAGTCTTATGCAATTAATCCAAACGTCTACAGTTTCTTTTAATAACAAAAAACTGTCTAGAAAACTATTACACTGAAGGCATCTATTTGGACGATGTGGATCAGAGATTTATCTTTAAAAAATTGTAATACACCACTTGGTCAAATGCGCATGAGGATTTGCAGGAAAAGGGGAAGAAGAAAGATAGAGAGATCAGCGGAGTATTCTTTGGAAGTGAGTTCTGATTGATTCTTGGATTGATTCGGGATGTTTAGCGCAGTCAGCTTCAAAGTTTTCATGTGTTACAAGGTTGCTGGATCTGGATGGCACGCCCACTCATTTGAGAGTTGGGGATTGTTTTAGACTGAATATATGTACTTCAACATAGACAATCCTAGATTGATGGCTAACGTTGCATGTTGTTCTGATTCATTTGTGTTTGGAAAAAGGGATTATTTAGGATAAGTTTTTTTAAAAAAAATACTATAACACTTTTTTATGTGATATATATGAAATAAAAATATGATTAAAAAATATATTTATGATATAAACAAATAAAATTATGCAAATAATAAATGATTAATCTTTCTTCTACATTATCAGAGTATAAACTAACGGGATTTAATGAATGCTATATCATTTGAATTTGAATTTAAACACCAAATTTTGTATATGTTACGTTCATCTAGACCCGCTAATGTATACACTGTCAGTGTATAAAAATTTACTCAATAATAAACTATGAAACTGTCTTCTAAGTGCCCATTAGATACATGTTAATATATATTTCAAGCATCAGATTTGAAATGAAAGATTTATTAGAGAAAGTATATAAATACAAAAAAAAAAGATAAATAAGATTAAATAGAAAAAATATATAAATGCAAGAAAAGATAATAATTAAAATATATATACACACACACACACACATAATAACTTAGGTAAATTCCAGGTGTGTTACAACTTACAAGGAACAATTAGAAAAACCCATAAACTATCCAAACAAATTATAAAGGCAATTAGCACATTAGTTTTAGTATTCCAAATTTGAGCTCAACATTCTCCCTCCCAGATTTTTGAGAGAGAGAGAGAGGGGCGCATTTCCGTGCAGATTTGTCAATACATTGCGTGATTGTGGCTAAACTTGTCAATACATTACGTGCAGATTGTCAATACATTGCGTGATTGCAGCTAAACATGATTATAAAATGTAAATTTGCATCATTGGGATCTTTGACATTTTTCCAAGATTATCTACAGTAGCCTTTGAACCAAATTGGTATGGCGACCTTAAGAAACTCATGCACCGATGACATGGGAAGCCTCACACTCCCCACATCAGATTCATGCTGTCCACCTCTCCCACGGTAATCTGATCCTCCAAGCTTCACAAGACCATATGCATCAGCACAATCGCTGCACTATTTTATCAAGAAAAGGTGATACAAGATATCATTACAAAGCCCACATGCCCCAAAAGATGATGGAAGTGAATACATTGTATTCTTGTACTCGAAAATGAAAATTTTCTTTGAAGAAGTTGCAGATGTGAGCAATAAGTTTGGAAATCCAATAGATGAAAAAGAAAGTAAATGAAGGCAACAGAGTATGAATGAAGTACCTGCCAGTTTTCCATCACTTCTGCAAGAGTCTATTCCATGCAAGCCTGCTTTTGTTAGCCTTCTGATCACGGCAACCGGGGATTTTAGCGCCCAGGGATGTGCCAGAACTGCAACAAGAACTCTCAATCAATCTATACAGAAGTCATATTGACCAACTTAAGAAACGCACAAAATTTAACTATATCACACTAATTACGTGGAATAAGCAGATCCACCATCATAAAGATATCTTGAAAAGGCCTGTTTTAGGTTCTCTACATGGCCTGCTTCAACCAAAGCACGAGCAACATGCAGCCTCTCAGGAGCAACACCTGTGCCTGCAATCTTGGTTATATGCTCCCACTTGAGAGATAGCTTCAGTTTGTTTAATTTTGAAACCATGCTCTTTGCACTTAGGAAACGTCCATTCCTTATGCAAGTATCAGCTTCACTAATTCGTCTATCCTTATTGGTCCCACACACTATAGTGTGCAAGAATACGAACTGGTTCTTCTGATCCCATCTCTCCACTGTTTATTTATGTTGAATATCAGAAAGAAAATAAAACGTGCAAGCAGGAAATAAATATATCAGCAATCCATTAACAATCAATGAAACTGTGGCACAAGACAGCCAGTAAAGTTAATAGAAGAACTACCAGACCCCTAAAACATGTGTTTTAGCTACTGTTTTGTTAATGCTAGATATGGTTAAGCCAAAGAGACAACTTTACCTTGGACAGAAAACTGCGCTAACTTCAACTCCTGGAACAATCTTGATCCCATATCTGAAAGCTGCTTCCTGGGCTTCAGGTATACCAGACATTGTATCATGATTTGTCAACACAATTACTTTCAACTGTTCAGGATATACATACTAATAAGTTGTAGTAGTCTAACCACATAATACACTTTAAAAAGCATAGATTAGTAGCACATGTCATGCTAATAATATTAGAAGAACAACAATGGAGCGAAGATCTTATAAAGAATTGAACTATAAATTCCATAAGAGGGGGAAAAAGTATTCATGGCATATAAGTCCATCAAGGTAAATAACACATATTATCAGTGATGATGAATTGCAAACATTGAAAACATGATTCTAGAAGAAACGAGCACAGGGGACGGTTTCCAAACAGACATCTCTATGGACAGTGCTAATGGTCCAGATGTAAACCACTGAAATTTCACAAAATCTAAGCTGTGCAGTATGCTTCTCAGAGTGTTATGACAACTTTCCAAACAGTTTTCCCGTTGATGGATTCCAGAATCAGAAACTGTTATCAAGTAAACTCTCCCTGTTTCTCTCAGATTAAAATATCCTTATGAACCACCTGCATACACTAAAAAAGACCAAACAAAAGAAAGGCAGTAGTCTTTTTTCTTGTTAAATATGTAAAGACTTCAACTTTTTATAGAGCAAAACACGATCCTCTGAGCACAATCATAAATTAAAACAATTCCAATATCAGATTCTTCAAAACACAAACAGAACAATTTCATTACAAAATGGCTTTTCACAATTCCCAAATTTAACATACAAGAATTACTAGGATAGACAAAAATTGAATTTGGAAAATCTTACGCCATTTTGGTGGGCTCTCTCAACAAGCTTGGTAGTGATAATATCCCATCACTGTGAATCGAATGAAAATGAAGGTAAAAGCCAACTTCTTCAGATCATTCCAGTGCACCCCAAAGTCATCATAATTCAGCGGTAGATGAAGAACCAGCAGAATGGTCCAAGAAGACCCATTCACTGGATTTATATGCTACAGTTTGTAACTATCTCAATCTTCTCTTGCTATCATCTCTCTTCCTTTTCTTCTTTTTGTTTTTATGCTGCAATTATTAGAGCAATTGGTACCATTTGGCTTCTTTGGGCTATCTTTTCACCCAACATTGGAAATTGTTTAGGGAAATCTGTCATTATAAGAGTCAAGGAAATGCTAGACAGGCAGGGGATCTTTTTGGACATGGGGACTTTATAGGGGAGTGGATGTTTCGGGTAGAAGTAGAATCACTTGTAGCAGCAAAGAAGAGTTAAAAAGATTGACACCTCTACCAACAAAAATACATGAGTCATCATTTCCAATCAGCAAATCCAAACATAATCCAGAGAAAGAGAAAATTGAGATAAATGTGGATCACGTGGATAAGTAATTTAGGGGCCAAGCAATATTTGTTTTCTTACAGAAAATATTGCAGCAAACAATCAAGTATCAATAGTTGTACTCGGAGGCATATTCTCCTTTTCTTTTTTGTAATGAACAAGGTGTTCAAGATAATCTTCAAGCTCTTTTCAATTTCTCGATAAACTGACTTGTGTGCTCCAGGGATTGCTCATATCTATACTTTTCTAAGGCCTGCAGCAAAGAAATCAAAGGCTGATTTGAAAAATTAAGCTCATTGTAAAACCCAAAATTTTCATCTAACATAAAGTTATACATAGCTGATTTGAAGGAAATCAACAAATATCATCTCCTTTCAAGGAAAGAATGTTTAAGAAGCAGCTATGAATCAGAAAAAGAAAAACTGCCAAAGGAAATGCCCAGCAAGTTACAATAGGATCACCTTTTAATAGTCCTGCAACACCAGATAATAAAATGTATAAACAAACATCTATTGCCACACCTCAAAGCAAAGCAAAAAACAAGATTATAATTATAGGCACTGTTGTAAGTGCCAAGTAACATGTTAAACATTCTACTAGTCCACTCAACTCATGCAACACAATATATCAAAACAGAAGCAAGTTGCAAAGAATATTTCCATGCCTGTTCTTAGGTAAACCCCAAATTTAATTTGCAAAAAGCTCCAATGGGGTACCAATGTGGATCCCGTTCTGTCTAATCTACCACGAGTCACCATGTTAAAATCAATACATGTCAAGAAACATCCTAAACTTAAGTTCCTAAGGGAGTAGGAGGTGGCAACTGATGTGCTAGGGTTTGAGCAAAAACCAAATGATCACCAACTGAAGGACAGGTAAGCACTATGAGAAACACAATCAGCGGAACCCAATTAGATTGATGCTCCAATAAATCCTTCAACCTAAAAGTAGGCCGCATGAGGACACAAATAGAGGAACCAATTAGCTTGATTCTTCAATTCAGCATTCAAGACTTCAAGTTAGGCCCCTATTTTCATAATTACACTCTCCTGAACCCAGTCCTAAGAAAATGGTATAAGTAACATATACAATTTCCTTGCATTCTTCTATCCTCAGACCCAGTCCCCCAAAAGAAAATGGTAGAAAGCAATTGGAATGGGAAAGAAGAGAGAAGAAAGGAGAGCAAGGAACGGATGAATAACAAGGCAAAAAAATTTGGGCAAGGCAGAAAAAAAACTTTGGAGAAGTAGATAGGAAATGGAAAAGATAATTTAGAGGTTGAAGAAAAAGGAAGGAACATGTAAGAAGAAAAAAAAGGGGAAGAGTAACCCTCTGTGTTCCCTTGATTTCCAACATTTTTAAAAAAAAAATTATCAGATGTAGATTAAAGAAGTAGGGATTACCTTAGCTTTAGAGAGTGTACTGGAGGTGACATAACAACTGGTTGAACATAATTCTTCCCACGATAGAAGATTATAATGTTGTTTAGGTTTAATGTCAATAACAGTTCCCTTACTTAATCGAGCTAGCTCTGCAGCATATTCGTGAACCTGTCCAGGCTTGCAAGGTTTGCAAATGACCTTAACCGTCTCGTGCTTCTTCCAATGGAGATGCATATTAAGAACAACACCTCCAAATACACCTCGTCTCCCAACTGGAACATAGTTTTTCTTTTTCTCACCAGTACGCTTCAGGTAAAACCTCTCTTCTTCAGTTAAAATTTCAGGATCATATGCTTCCACAGGAACTTTAGATACCTCATATTTCCTCAATTTCTCAATCAGCCAAGCTTCCTTTCTTTTCGCCTGGAGTTTTTCAATGAAACTTACCATAAGTACCAAACCAGATAAAAATCCCCCACCAAATAAATAAAATCCTCCACCAAGTGCACTCCCAAAGGATATTTTTCATGTGCATGTGTCAGGGTAGAGGTGAGGTTTAGCGTAGGTTTACTTAATAAAAAAGGGGAAAAAAAGAACTAAGACATTACAAACCAAAAGATGGAATTGGCTATTTAACCATTTGAGTCCATAATTCTGCTCATTTAGTTGATCAAGAAGCTTCAATGGCACAATCAATGCCTACAATCCATTTATCATGGAGATTTTCTTTTCCTTTTCATTTTCAAAAAACACAATACTAAGTGAGACTTTGTTAGCTAACTTTGTGCACCAAGGACTTAAGTCTTTATCATGTTTAAAATGTTAAAATTCTATCAATGAGAAGTTTAAGGGGGGAAAAAAGAAGAAGAAGAAAACCACAAAAACTTGGTGAACAATTTGAGAAAATAAATAATGTAAGATCTTTTTCCTGGTACCATTGATACATATAATTGGCAACATCTCTGTATGTATCCCCACTCCTTTGAACGCAATAAAGATTAAAATGGAAAGGCAACAATTGTGAAAAGAAAAGAACAGGTTTGACTGAAATAGCCCTAAAAGAATGGTAAAACAATTGCAAAGACAGGCACGGCATAGAGAAGTATAAATCAAAATCTCACCAACCTTTTCAAGTTTATATCTTATCCTAACTTCTGGTTTGGAGAATTCATTTCTTTTTGCCTTCAACCTGTAGAACTTAAGCTCATTAAGTTTTGCTTTTTTGGACATTTTAACCTTCTTGCCTGCCTTCTTTGCTTTTCTTTGTGACCCACCATTGACTGCCGGACTACCAAAATTAAACCTGACACCATCTTTATCTGTCTTCAGCTCAATCGAAGGATTACTGATGTGTCTAACTTGTATGGATTTTGAAGAGATATCATGTGACTGCAAAGCCAGCAATCTATTACTTAATAATGAGCTTTTCTTCATAGAAGGTTTAGATTCAGGAAAAGGTTTTTCTAGCCAGGAATCTCCTCGGTGTGCGCTTGTGTAATGATGGTGAAAGTGAGAAAATGAAGTAGCTTCAGGAAAACATGGAGAACTAGAAATATTTTGGACTAGGAAGTCATAAAGAAACAATCCCCTGCACAAAAACAAACATCAACATCAGGTTCAACCAATTCAGGAAAAGAGAAACAAGGCAAGGAGTTGACAACAATTGGAGTAGAAGGAAATAAGAAGATTCAGCTAACACAGACAAAGCAAAGAATAGAGTTCCGACATTTCCTGCAAAGGAAGATGATGGGACATTTTGATTACATTCCGACAAAGTATACATACTGTTGCTATCGTGCCTATATGTACCTGGCCACATGGCTATGTACAGAAATTTGTCCATCCTCATTTCTTTATGAGCAAATGCTATACTACCTCAAAGCTACAAGCTTCTTTAACTTTGGGTCATATGCATTGCATAGATTTAAGGTTTGTTTATATGCACTAGCATGCATATATGTCTCAGAGCAACAAAGCTAAGAGTAAAACTATTTGTGCAGCTATAAACCTGGAGAACATGTTAAAATTTTAATCGAAACTTAACTTGAAAGACATAGAGAACATATCAACAAATGTAATTCCTAATTCAGCAATAATAAATACAATACAGTTTTTTCTAAAGAGATTTATTTTTGCTGTTTATGTTGCATAATTTCTTCCCCAAACAATCCAATTTGTTTCTCCTCACTTGACTACTTCTCGTCACACAAAACCTCGCACAGTAGTGCCTGGCTAAAACTACTTGAAGTTAAATTGGAGTTCGAATTTCATGTCAATGAATGCACTTGCTTAATGAAAGTTAAACAGAATTCAACAGCCACGATGGTGGAGCACTGGATTATCACTATATAGCTTCTTCTTTTATACAGGAAGAGAAGTTTTGCAACCTATTATGTATGGTTAATGAGGGAG